CATTAAGAACATCCATACTTATTCATATGCCTACTACATACACAGAACAATACACGCAAATATAAACCCTCCACTCAAACTTCTCACCAACTTAAACATGACACAATACAAGACACAGATTCTTTTTGATATACCTCGTGTCCATATCACACTGTGTAAAAACTCTATGCACATAAAGGACCCCAAAATATGGAATTATTACCAGAAGATATTAAAGTAACCAGTCTGAAAATCAGTTTAAGACTCTTCTTAAAAGCCACTTAATCACCCTAGACTAAACGCTAAATACTCAGTACATATACTCACCTATGTACTCCAACATCATAACTTCAACAATCACTTTAAACCTTTTATCTATTGTTGACAGGAATATAATTGATCCATTGTTTTCACAAAAAGCATTTTAGACTATATGAATATATCCTTTGCCTTATTCAAATTTCATTCACTTGCAATTAATAATCTACTGTTCAACTATGAAATAATTACTGTCCTACTGTACAACAATGATATAATCCTTAGTGTTAAGTAGTTTTTAAGCCAATAATGTTAAGTTGGCCTATAATGCCTAGGCATAATAGAGGCTCTCTTTGCTTTGCAACCCACTATTGTAAATATAAAATCTCAATGTACTGTTTGCAAAGACATAAAATAAATAAATAAATAAATTATACTCCAAGAATATAATAAAAATTAAAGATGTTTGTGTTTAACCTTTCAGGGTCGACAGGCCCTGTCAGAGGCTTGTTCTCAGGGTCAACAGGCCCTGTCAGAGGCTTGTTCTCAGGGTCGACAGGCCCTGTCAGAGGCTTGTTCTCAGGGTCGACAGGCCCTGTCAGAGGCTTGTTCTCAGGGTCGACAGGGCCCTGTCAGAGGCTTGTTCTCAGGGTCGACGGGCCCTGTCAGAGGCTTGTTCTCAGGGTCAACAGGCCCTGTCAGAGGGCTTGTTCTCAGGTCGACGGCCCTGTCAGAGGCTTGTTCTCAGGGTCGACAGGCCCTGTCAGAGGCGTGTTCTCAGGGTCGACAGGCCCTGTCAGAGGCTTGTTCTCAGGGTCGACAGGCCCTGTCAGAGGCGTGTTCTCAGGGTCGACAGGCCCTGTCAGAGGCTTGTTCTCAGGGTCGACAGGCCCTGTCAGAGGCTTGTTCTCAGGGTCGACGGGCCCTGTCAGAGGCTTGTTCTCAGGGTCGACAGGCCCTGTCAGAGGCTTGTTCTCAGGGTCAACAGGCCCTGTCAGAGGCTTGTTCTCAGGGTTGACAGGCCCTGTCAGAGGCTTGTTCTCAGGGTCAACAGGCCCTGTCAGAGGCGTGTTCTCAGGGTCGACAGGCCCTGTCAGAGGCTTGTTCTCAGGGTCGACAGGCCCTGTCAGAGGCTTGTTCTCAGGGTCGACAGGCCCTGTCAGAGGCGTGTTCTCAGGGTCGACAGGCCCTGTCAGAGGCATGTTCTCAGGGTCGACAGGCCCTGTCAGAGGCTTGTTCTCAGGGTCGACAGGCCCTGTCAGAGGCTTGTTCTCAGGGTCGACAGGCCCTGTCAGAGGCTTGTTCTCAGGGTCGACAGGCCCTGTCAGAGGCTTGTTCTCAGGGTCAACAGGCCCTGTCAGAGGCTTGTTCTCAGGATCAACAGGCCCTGTCAGAGGCTTGTTCTCAGGGTCGGCCAAATTTCAAAAAAAAAAAAAATAATTTTTTCTTATGAAAAAATAGTTTTTTCTAAACATTTTAGGCTAAACAAAAGTTTTTTACCATCAATATTTACCGAGATATGGAGGCGTGAAGTTTACAAAAAATGAGCATCATGTGGTAACATCGCCGACTGCCGTCACCCGGTATTCTTTTAGATAGTGTTTTATGTACTATTTTCTATTATTTTTTAATTTTTCTTTTTGCAAGTAACTTTTATGGCCTGTGAGACCAATATGATCAATATTTTGTAAGTTATTATTTTTCAATACTACACAATAATGGCATAAACACTGTTGTCATTGTTCTTTTTACAGAAAATATTTACACAAACAAATGATATGAAATGTTATTTATTACTATTTTTCTATATTTTATATACACATAAACAGTCACAGGGAATGTTTCTAGAAGTTCTGAAGCCTGTGGAACTCTTTGAAACATGGTGTCATGCACAGTGGTGTTTTACACTCCTCACATATAAAACGAGTGTCTCTGCGTTGTTGTGGGCGTTTTTTTGTATGTGCACAGACGTAACACCTCTTCTGAGCCTTTTTCTTGAAAGCAGTAGCAGGCAGTTTTACCAGGAAGTGATCACCATGCTTCCAACGAGAAGGAAGTTGCCGAAAATTTGGTGGGCGGTCTATTGCAGGTGTTGTTTCTTGGTACTTGAATACTATTTGTCTGATGACAGACAAACAGAATTCACCATATGGTGGTTTGTTTCTGGTCCTCGTCTTATACATATTATAAGCATTCAGCATGGAAATGTCCAGAAAATGGAAAAAGAGTTTTATGTACCACTTATAACTCTTGCGAACACAATCAGCAAATCCAATCTGCATGTCACATTTGTCCATTGAATGCATATTGAGGATGTAGTCCACAGCTGCAGGTTTTAGAATGAGTTCATTGCTTTCTCTATGCTGCCTGCCAGTGTCTGCCATCTCATTAGGGTGAAGATGACAACAGTGTGGCATCTCGTTTGTCATGCCACCGAAATGCCATTATATCATTGGCAGCAAACGCCTGCACCTCACCTCTACGAGTGCCAGGGTCAAACCTGGGCATATGTTTCCGATTTGCATGCACTGTGCCACACACATCTGTCATGTTCACTCACAAAAAATCACTGAGTGTGGGGCTTGTGTACCAGTTATCTGTATATAATGTATGCCGCTTACCAAGGTATGGTTCTGTCATTTTTCTAACCACATCACCAGAGATGCCCAGTAACTTCCTGGTATTTTGCAATGTATAACTTCCAGTGTACACATTAATATCCAATACTAGACCACTGTAACAATCACAAAGCACAAACAACTTTATACCAAAGCATTTCCTCTTGCTTGGTATGTACTGCTTGAAAGAGAATCTTCCTTTGAACAGTATCAAAGACTCATCAATTACAAGCTTCCTGAAGGGATAAAAATAAATATTGAATTTCTCTTTCAGATACACAAACACATGCCCAATCCTATATAACCTGTCGTTTCTGTCAGGCCTGGTTTTGTCTGAGAAGTGAAGCATACGTAACAGTAGCACAAATCGATTCACTCCCATTATATCACTGAAACCTGGGGTTGCAATCAGGCGGTCTGTAGACCAGTATGATTTCACACTGTGCTTGTACACATGTGGCATAAGCATTATTGCAGTAAAGAAAAGATACATCTCAGCCACAGTTTTCTCCTTCCACTGGTGTAGACATGATTTTGGTGAAAGTATTGTGTTTGCCATGGTGTGCTCGTAGTATGTGTTGCATTCCATGACAATACTTTCCATCAGGGGTTCGTCAAAGAATAACTCGAAGCATTCCAGTTCACTGGCATTGTTTCCCAGTGTACAACATGGCTGTATTCCACTTTGGCTGTCATCAAACTGGTGGGGATTTGGAACAAAATTAACAGCTTCCTGCCAATCCCAGGTGCAGTCTGCTGGTGGGTACTGGACAATGACAGGTGGTTGTGGCTGTGGAGGCTTGTGTGATGGGTGGGTGGGGGATGGTGGCCTTTGTTGTAGATCAGCTGAGGCAGTGGCGTGGGTGGCAGCATGGGCCCCTGCTGGTGCCTCATGGCCGGCACCATCACTACCACCACCATGCACATTTTCCATCCCAATTGCAACAGTATCATCGTCATTTTCACTGTCAGTTCCCGTTGTACAGCCACGGGATGTGCTCCGAGATGTACTCCTTCCCCTTGGAATAGCAAAGTGCACACTACCAGAGTGCATATGTCGTCGTATATACTGATGCTTCACTGGGGAATATTGCACTTCACTATCACTACTGGAACTAGTTTGAAGAGCTTGTAGTTCATAATCACTATCACTATCATCACAAATGCTCACATCTGAGTCTGGGATTTGGGAAAATAGGAGTTTCCTCTTTGATTCTGGTACAACTGAGCGTGAACAAGACGACCCAGCACCAGAGGTGGAAAGCTGAGGGTCCGCTGCATTTTCCTCACTATTGCCAATATTATGGTCATTAGTTTTGGTCAAAACCTCACCAAAACCTTGAAACTCATCTGCACTGGCACTTCCATCTGTATTAGAACTGTCACTGGGGAACAAAAGTGTCCCAATTTGCCGTGGAGTGAGGAGCTTCTTACCGTGGAGCATGGTGGACAAAGTGAACTAAAATGGCGTTTGCACAATGCGCCACTGGGTCCCAGATTTTTTTTCTACTGTGCACACCCACCACACAGACCCATTCTCTCACATCTAGGCCTACCAGCCTTTTCCCGCAAGATTTGAAGGCGCTTGAATTTATGCATACTAGTACGTCAAAAACCCCTGTGCGTAAGCCGTACTAGTACGGCCGAAACCCTGAAAGGGTTAAGTCATGTTGTTTACTCAGTTATTAGTTAACATATTTATTATATACAACTTATGATGTATCTTGAAGATCTTTACAGATAAACATTTAAGTGACAATTTTATTTAGTGAAACATGTGACAATAGAGAGAAAAATCATTTTTAGTTGAGTATGTTGTGTTGGTAATTGTGGAATATTGTGCTATACTGACTCAAGTTTCTATTGCAGACGTATTTTGTGGAAGACTACCAGGTTGTGTCTTGCCAGACACTATATCTTCAGTACTTCAAGAAGCACCAGTGTAAGTGTCTTGAACAACAACTTGCATAAGTATTTTGTGGAGGACTACCAGGTTGTGTCTTGTCAGACATTATATCTTCAGTACTTCAAGAAGCACCAGTGTAAGTGTCTTGAACAACAACTGATATTGCAGAAGTATTTTGTGGAGGACTACCAGGTTGTGTCTTGCCGGACACTATATCTTCAGTACTTCAAGAAAGACTACAGATGTTCTTCTTGTGAATTTTTAACTAGTTATTACTAATTAAACAATTTTGCATTTGATATTGGGAATTCTATCTAAAAATGCATGGCAGTTAATTCTTTGAGGTTTCTTTTTGTAGTTCTATGACTTATAAGCCAGAGTCCAAGCTGTAGTACTACATCATGAGCTCAGCTTACTCAGATAAGCTGTGAACAGTAAATTTGGGCTGAAATATGAGAGAATGCATCTATGTTGTAAGTGTGCACCATATAAAACAAATCCTGGATCTGGCAATGCATAATGAGAGAAAAAAAAGTGCAACTGTGTTTTTGGATTAAAACAGCAAATTTTTTGGTGTATTTTTATATGTTTTTTATGGTAGCATTTACTGTTTCTTGGTCTCATATGATAGAGTAGAAGATGTATTATAGAAATGGCTTTGATGGATTTTAGTACTGAAAATAGCTTAAAATTGAGTTCAGAGTAGAAGAAATGTTCTATTTTTGCTGATATCAGAGGGTAAACAACCACGTCACGTGTGCAATACACATCAACTGGTGGGTTTAATGTGTGCTGCTGAATGCACTGATATTTTTTATACAATTATTACAATATTGAATAACAGTAACTTTTCCATTTTTTGTGTGCATAAAAATAATTTGTGAATAAAAAATCAAAATGAAATTCATCTGTAAAGCCTACAAATATAACTAATATGTACTAGAAATGTTAGTTTAATGCCAGGTTGCCTGTACTGATTATTCAGGACCCTATTTTGAAATTGGAAAATTTTGAATTTTGTGTGAAATTGGTCATATTACCAATACCAGGTTGCTTGCTTTGATTATTCTGGGACCAATTTTGAAATTGGAATATTTTGAATTTATGTGTGAAATTGGCCATATTACCAAAACCAGGTTGTCTGCTTTGATTATTCTGGACCTTATTTTGAAATTAAAATATTTTGAGTTTTGTGTGAAATTGGCCATATTTCCAATTTTCAATCACTTTATTGGGAAGTTGAAATAGTTGAATTGGGCAATTTTATGTGCTAATAGATAATATGGAACACATACTAGTGAAATAGCTAAGAATTTGGTATAATGGAACTATGTAATTGGCCAAAAACATGACTCAAAGTGGGCAAAATTGCTAATGCATAAATATTTCTGACACAGCAAAATTTGCAGGAGTATAACTTCATCAATACTTTATAAAATTTTGTACTTTTTATTTTATTACATTCAGAAAAAGATTCTCTATGATTTCCTAAGAAAAAATATATTTTTTAGACCCTGTGGGGAATTTTCGGACTGGGGGTCTGAACTCTCAAAGAGTCAATAAAAGAATACAAAAAAAAAATTTTTAAACACAAGAGCAAATAATAATAATAATAATAATAATAATATTATTGTTGAGTGTCTCTGCAGTGTTCTAGTACATACATTAATGTTTTAACACAAAACAAAAATTATGATAGTGTTTTAACAAACAATATGAACTTTATTAATGATCATAAGTAGGAAAAGTTTTGCCTAAATAAATCTTAACATGGGAATATGTTCATAAGGAAAACCACGTGTTCAATGTCCAAAATATTTTTAAAAAATCTTGAAATAGACATGTGAGTACATAAGGAAGATTAACTATACCAACGTTGTATGACTAAAATATTTTTAATGAAATACCTTCATTTAAAAAATATGGAAAAACATAAAGAACATAAACCATATCAATGTTCTGAGTGTCTGAAATGTTTTAGTCAAAAAAGCAATCTTGTGTCACATGCGAGAGTACATACAGGAGATAAACCATATGAATGTTCTGAGTGTCTGAAATGTTTTAGTCAAAAAAGCCATCTTGTGTCACATGCAAGAGTACATACAGGAGATAAACCATATGAATGTTCTGAGTGTCTGAAATGTTTTAGTCAAAAAAGCCATCTTGTGTCACATGCGAGAGTACATACAGGAGATAAACCATATCAATGTTCAGAGTGTTTGAAATGTTTTACTGAAAAACGCTATCTTGTGACACATATGAGAGTACATACAGGAGATAAACCATACAAATGTTCAGAGTGTTTGAAATGTTTTACTGAAAAACACAGTCTTGTGAAACATATGAAAGTACATACAGGAGATAAACCATATCAATGCAATGAGTGTCTGAAATGTTTTAATCAAAAAAGCAGTCTTGTGAAACATATGAGAGTACATACAGGAGATAAACCATATCAGTGTTCTGAGTGTCTGAAATGTTTTAGTGAAAAACACTGTCTTGTGAATCATATGAGAGTACATACAGGAGATAAACCATATCAATGTTCTAAGTGTCTGAAATGTTTTACTCAAAAAAGCCATCTTGTGAAACATATGAGAGTACATACAGGAGATAAACCATATCAGTGTTCTGAGTGTCTGAAATGTTTTAGTGAAAAAAGCAGTCTTGTGAAACATGTGACAGTACATACAGAAGATAAACCATTTCAGTGCGCTGAGTGTCTGAAAAGTTTTACCGCAAAAAGCAGTCTTGTGACACACATGAGAGTACATACAGGAGATAAACCATATCAGTGTTCTGAGTGTCTGAAATGTTTTAATAGAAAAAGCAATCTTGTCAGACATACACAAGTACATTCAGATAAAACATGTTAGTGTTTAATGTTTCAGAAATATTTTAGTTATAAATTCATCAGAATATATAAAAGGGATATACCATAGCAGTGTTGAGAGTGAAATATGTTAATGAAATGTCAGTCATATAAATCATATAAGTTCATAGAGGAGATAAGTTATATTAATGTTCAGAACATATTATATATTTTATAAAAAGAGCAGTCTTGTGTACTCACGAGAGTTAATATACAGTATAAACAATATATATAAATATATATATATCTTTTCTAGGTAGTAGGTTGGTAGACAGCAACCGCCCAGGGAGGTACTACCATCCTGCCAAGTGAGTGTAAAACAAAAGCCTGTAATTGTTTTACATGATGGTAGGATTGCTGGTGTCCATTTTTCTGTCTCATAAACATGCAAGGTTTCAGGTACATCTTGCTACTTCTACTTACACTTAGGTCACACTACACATACATGTACAAGCATATATATACACACTCCTCTTGGTTTTCTTATATTTTCTTTCTAGTTCTTGTTCTTGTTTATTTCCTCTTACCTCCATGGGGAAGTGGAACAGAATCCTTCCTCCATAAGCCATGCGTGTTGTAAGAGGTGACTAAAATGCGGTAGCAGGGGCCTAGTAACCCCTTCTGTATATATTACTAAATGTAAAAGGATAAACTTTCGTTTTTCCATTTGGGCCACCCCGCCTCGGTGGGATACGGCTGGTGTGTTAAAAAATAAAATATATATATTCTTTCTTTCAACACAGTGGCTATCCCACCGAGGCGAAGTGGCCCAAAGGAGAAAAACGAAAGTTTTTCTCCTTTACATTAGTATATATATATGGAGAAGGGTTACTAGCCCCTTGCTCTGGCATTTTAGTCATTTTAGTCGCCTCTTACAACACGCATGGCTTACGGAGCAAGAATTCTGTTCCACTTCCACATGGAGATAAGAGGAAATAAACAAGAACAAGAACTAAAAAAAAATGAAGAAAAACCCAGAGGGGTGTGTATATATATGCTTGACAAGTTGTTGTGTGGGTACCTAGTGTAATAGATAGTAGCAAGATTACCTAAGTCCTTGCATGTTCGTAGACAAAAAAAGTGACACTCAGCAATCTACCATCATGTCAACAATTACAGGCTTTTGTTTACACTCACTTGGTAAGGATGGAGCATCCCCGGTGGTTCTTCTACCAACCTACTACCTGTAATACAGGGACCCTAGTATTTGATGTCATTGGTAACAGCAAGGAAATGAGTGAGCTACCAGTCCCAATAGACTCAGTTTTAGCAAGCCACTAACCGACGAGAGTCAAACTCAAAATGAATTTTTATGAGAGAGCCACAGAATTTGTTACAAGCCTATGATGTTATCCTGACGCCAAATGACTTGAACAGCATAAATGACATGCCCATTGCACTTCGTGGCCCCAGGGCCAGACTCTGAACTTCGTGTTCACAAGAACTGCAGAAGCGCCCTATCACGAGCTTTTACTCATCTATGGAGAGGAGCATGGACATGGGGTGGTCGTCTCCACAGTTACTGAAAACAACAGACATTAGCCCGCACTACCACAAAGGGGGCAGTGAAGCAACAGCAAGACTACAGACGATAGCACTAAATCCCATATCATAAAAATCTTTGAAGGGTCCTAAGAAGCAAGATCGCCACCATTTAGAAACCATCAATTCAAAAATCCCAGGCAACATGGTTTTGAACAGGTCGCCCTGTCTGTCTCAACTATTGGATCACTACGACAAGGTCCTAGATGCACTAGAAGACAAAAAGAATGCAAATGTAATATATACAGACTTTGCAAAAGCCTTCGACAAGTTTGACCATGGCGTAATAGCACACAAAATGTGTGCTAAAGGAATAACAGGAAAAGTCGGTCGATGGATCTATAATTTCCTCACTAACAGAACACAGAGAATAGTAGTCAACAGAGTAAAGTCCGAGGCAGCTATGGTGAAAAGCTCTGTTCCACAAGGCACAGTACTTGTTCCCATCTTGTTCGTCATCCTCATATCGGGTATAGACAAGGATGTCAGCTACAGCACCATGTCTTCCTTTGCAGATGACACCCAAATCTGCATGACAGTGTCTTCCATTGCAGACACTGCAAGGCTCCAGGCAGACATCAACCAAATCTTTCAGTGGGCTGCAGAAAACAATATGAAGTTCAACAATGAGAAATTTCAATTACTCAGATATGGTAAACATGAGGAAATTAAATCTTCATCAGAGTACAAAACAAATTCTGGCCATAAAATAGAGCAAAACACCAATGTCAAAGACCTGGGAGTGATCATGTTGTAGGATCTCACCTTCAAGGACCATAACATTGTATCAATCACATCTGCTAGAAAAATGGCAGGATGGATAATGAGAACCTTCAAAACTAGGGATGCCAAGCCCATGATGGCACTCTTCAGGTCACTTATTCTATCTAGGCTTGAATATTGCTGCACACTAACAGCACCTTTCAAGGCAGGTGAAATTGCTGACCTAGAAAATGTACAGAGAACCTTCACGACACACATAACGGAGATAAAACACCTCAATTACTGGGAGCACTTGAGGTTCCTGATAGCCCTTGTGGCTTAGCGCTTCTTTTGATTATAATAATAATAATTGAGGTTCCTGAACCTGTATTCCCTGGAATACAGGCAGGAGAGATACATGATTGTATACTCCTGGAAAATCCTAGAGGGACTAGTACTGAACTTGCACACGAAAATCACTCACTACGAAAGCAAAAGACTTGGCAGACGATGCAACATCCCCCCAGTGAAAAGTAGAGGTGTCACTAGCACGTTAAGAGACCATACAATAAGTGTCAGGGGCCCGAGACTGTTCAACTGCCTCCCAGCATATATAAGAGGGATTACCAACAGACCCCTGGCAGTCTTCAAGCTGGCACTTGACAAGCACCTAAAGTCGGTTCCTGACCAGCCGGGCTGTGGCTCATATGTTGGTTTGCATGCAGCCAGCAGTAACAGCCTGGTTGATCAGGCTCTGATCCACCAGGAGGCCTGGTCACAGACCGGGCCACGGGGGCGTTGACCCCTGGGACTCTCTCCAGGTAAACTCCAGGTACGATAAATCTGGTATTCGATGCATTTTAATGCAAAAACTTCACCTCGGTATCCGATCGAAAACCCAGTATTCAATGCGATTCGTACAAGACATGTCCACATGTGGCCTGAACTGCCCCATGTGTGCCAGTGTTTACAAGCCAGGCAGTGTGCGTGCATCTTAGAATACATTCAGTGCATTCCATATTATCACTGTTTTTGGTGCTTGTTTCTGCAAAATAAGTCACCATGGGCCCCAAGAAAGCTTCTAGTGCCAACCCTTTGAGAAAAAAGGTGCTTATGACTATTGAAATGAAGAAAGAGATAATTGCAAAGTACGAAAGTAGAGTGCGTGTGTCGGAGCTGGCCAGATTGTATAGTAAACCCCAATCAATGCTCTCTACTATAGTGACCAGGAAAATGGCAGTCAAGGAAGCTGTTCTTGCAAAAGGTGCAACTCTGATTATGAAACAGCGACCGCAAGTGTTAGAAAATGTTGAGAGACTGTTATTGGTGTGGATAAATGAAAAACACATAGCAGGAGATAGCATCTCTCAGGCGATCATTTGTGAAAAGGCTAGGCAGTGGCATGACGATTTGGTAAAGAAATTGCCTGCAACTAGTGCTGTTGTGAGTGAATTTAAGGCCAGCAAAGGTTCGTTTCAAAGATTTAAGAATCGTAGTGGCATACATAGTGCAATTAGGCATGGTGAGGCTGCCAGTTCGGACCAAAAAACAGCTGAAAAATATGTGAAGGAATTCAAGGATTACATAGTGAAGAACTTAAACCTGAACATGTGTTTAACTGCAACGAAACAGGCCTGTTTTGGAAAAAAATGCCAAGCAGGACCTACATTACTCAGGAGGAAAAGGCACTCCCAGGACATAAGTCTATGAAAGACAGGCTTACTCTGTTAATGTGTGCCAGTGCTAGTGCTAGTAGTGATTGCAAAGTGAAGCCTTTATTGGTGTATCACTCTGAAATTCCCAGAGTGTTCAGGAAAAACAGTGTCTCAAGGCTAATTTGTGTGTGATGTGGAGGGCAAACAGTAAGGCATTGGTCACTAGGGACTTTTTCTATGACTGGTCACACTATGCATTTGCCCCCGCTGTGAAAAATTACCTAATTGAAAAGAAATTAGACCTTAAGGGCCTCCTGGTATTAGACAATGCCCCTGGTCATCCTATAGACTTGGCAGAGCGACTTTCTGGGGACATTAGCTTCATTAAGGTCAAGTTTTTGCCTCCTAATACCACTCCTCTCCTGCAGCCCATGGACCAGCAGATCATTTCCAACTGCAAGAAACTATACACAAAAGCTATGTTTCAAAAGTGATTTGTAGTGACCACAGAAACTCAACTGACTCTAAAAGAGTTTTGGAAGGACCACTTTAATATCCTCAATTGTATAAACCTTGTAGGTACGGCTTGGGAGGGAGTGACTAAGAGGACCTTGAACTCTGCTTCAGAGATTAAGGAAATGTGTGCAATGTGACTTGAAGTTCAAACCTTTTTAGATGATACTCACCCTGACACAGCTACTACAAGCCGTGTTGGCAACCTGTACAATGACAATGTTGTGAACCACTTTAGGAAAGTCATAAAGGAACGAGAGGTACAGGCCTCTATGGACAGATATGTTGTGTGACAGATGTCCAGTGGCCCTCAAGCTGGTCCTAGTGGCATTAAAAGAAGAAGGGAAGTAACCCTGGAAAAGGACTTGCTACCTCAAGTACTAATGGAAGGGGATTCCCCTTCTAAACACTAACACCATCCACACTCTCCCCTCCTCCTATCCCATCAATCATCACCAGATCTTCATTAAAGGTAAGTATCAATTATTCTATTGTTATTATTCTATTATTATTGTTGTTATTGTAATTATTCTATTACATTAAACCTAATATTTCATGAGTGAGTAATGAGACAATATGTCACTTTGACAGCTGCCAACTCCTGACTCAAAACAATTATAAGCCACACACTTGCACACAAGACAAGGAGGAGGAGGAGGAGGAGAAGGAGAAGGAGGAGGAGAAGGAGAAGGAGAAGAAGAAGAAGAAGAAGGAGGAGGAGGGAGAAGAAGGAAGGAGGAGGAAGAAGAAGAAAAGAAAAAGAAGAAGAAGAAGAAGAAGAACCGCCCAAGACTCGTCTGGACCCACCATCACAAAAACCCCAAAGGGGGGGAAAAATTTCCCCTAGGTTTTCCACCTTGACAGTACCCCTTAAAGGGTTCCCGGAATACATAAAACCCAAATCCCCAAAGAAAATCTCCAAGGGACAAAAAGGCTTTCCTATCAAAAAATAAGGAAACTATTTTTTCCCACCAATCACTCTCCGGGCATGAAAACCAAAATACACCATTTTACCCAAAACTTCCCTAGTAATTTGGAAAATTTGGTGGCCCAACCCAACATCCAATCATCAAAAAACCCCTCATAACCAAGAAAAAGGGCAGCATAAAAAAGTTTAACAAATTCCCACTCCCACCGGCATCCTCCCCCAAATTTTTAAAAAAAGTCTGAATCCCCTC